CTCTCTCTCTCTCTCTCTCTCTCTCTCTCTCTCTCTCTCTCTCTCTCTCTCTCTCTCTCTCTATATATATATATATGTATGTGTATATATATATATATATATATATCTTCCCTCTTTCTTTGGACCTTTTCTTGATTGGAGAGTAGTGGGTTTTGAGCGTTTTACAAGTTATTTTGTTTCCTTTCAGTGGGTAATAACATTTTGGAGTAGATTCGGGACCCTTTGCAACAAACTGGTTTGTGATGACTTATGAAGAAAGATTCCAGGAAAGATACCAAGCTGAATCTGGGTAAGCTATCTCATGATACGTCAGGATTTTACCTAAATCCGATCCAAATGTCCAAACCACAGAGAAAAAACCAGGCCTGATTACTACATTTCGGCTCAAGAGGATGATGAAATATACGTGAGACAAATACCCTCAGCATGTATGAATTTAAATTTTTACTCATTATCCTTAATTAATATCTTTTCAGTTAAATAATTATATAAATTAAAAGGGTGTTAATCATGAGTAAAAGATGAAAATTAATACCAATGCACATGGTAAGCTTAATAATTCCCTCTATACTGTTAAGAATAAGATATAATGACACACACTAAAATTTCGCGAAATTTAATAAACTTTTTTTAAGATATTTTAAAATTTTCAGGATATTTCAGAATAAGAAGTTTTCATTATGACATAGTAATTATCATAATGACATCACATTTTATACTATCTAATGGGAGTATTTATTATTTTAATGATTTCAAATTTTGCTATTCTATAATATTTTAAAAATTTTGCTATATATGTAAAGAGCTCTATACGTAAATAGTCTGAAACTTCTTTTGAAGTAAATAGTATATTTTAACTACTAAAAAATATCATATTTTTAAATATTTGAATTAAATAATGTTTTTATTTGGTAAATAATTTATTTATTATGATTAAATACTTTATTAAGAGTAAATTAATTTACGTTGTAGGTATACTATTGACTTTAGATATTTTAAAATCTGCTGTTTATTTTCTTAATTTTGCAAGTTTTAAAAAATTGTTATTTACTACAAATTTTCGTAATATAAAGTATATGGTCAAAAGCTCAGTCCTTCATCTTATTTTATCTTATCATATAAAAGGATGAGGTTTAACATATATTTGTTCCGTTTAACATAGACTTCATAGCAGCAAGGAATTTACTTGACCAGTGCAATACTTTTTCATAATCAATATAGAGCAAATATTATCTTATACCTTACATGTTATATTAATTATCTATCTATCTATATCTATATATACAAAGAGTTAATCTTCAAGGTATATGATGGTATTCTTCAAGTTACACTCAGAAAAAAAAAAAAAAAAAAAAAAAAAACCTTCAAAGTACATATATTTTTCATCTGAAAAAGAAGAATATCCTTTTTTAGGACTAGATCGTACTCAAAATTGTTGCATCTGGGATTGTCCATATGTGATATTATGAGTGAGCAGTTAAGAGGTAGATGTTCATTTCGCCGATTCGAGTTTAGAATTTGAGTTTTACTATAGTAAAAAGCTCTCAGAAACAATCACATCTAACTTTTTTACTACAGTAAAAAGCTCTCACATAAAATCACATCTCAACTCGAATCAACGAACTAAACGGTTCAATATTGTAAGTACATGCGCAATTTATCTAAGAATGGAGAACTTCATATTTGTCCCGTATAAGATTGAAGAAGACATTGGCCTAATATAATTCTATTTATTTATTTATATTCCTTTTCCAAAAATGGTTTCAAGTAAAAGTATGGAAAACATTAAATTATGGAATACCATTATGAAACCTGACTAATAACTGCACGCCAGCATAGCAGTAGTCATTTTCATCCAAGAATGAAATCTTTCTCTTTTTTCACTCCACTTATCCAAACTCATATGGAGGTAAATATATATACCTTTCTTTTGGACTTTGTTTTCCCTTTATTCTACACTGCAACTTTTTCTCTTTTTTATTCTTTTTTATCTTTATTTTTTATTTTTTATTTTTTATTTTCTGCTTAATGCCTTTATGGTGTAATGCTAAACATAGGATTAGACTCAATCAACAATAGAGTGTGACACATATTTTATTTTGGTTGGTATGTCAATTCTCTAATCAATGAAACCAATATCGTCTACACTAAATTACAAAAAAGGACTACATGGATGTCCATTGTCTGTTTTATATATAAGTGGTTAATGAAACTTCTAATAATTGGTGGCGTATAATTTGTTTCAGGAATCTCTTGTTTCACAACCTCCAAAACGCATTATTTCATTTTATAAATTTGAAGAGGAAACAAGGAAAATTAATTAATTGCTAAGCAATTTGCTAGTTTGGTCAATAGGTATCCATAATTATAAACTCTAACACGACCTTTGTATGTATGTGCCAACATATATTTAATACTACCATTTTTTTGTTGTGTTCCATTGATTATGATAGCTATGATGAGAGTGCTTTACCATTACCGCTACTATAATTTTTTTGTTTTTTTTTAATAAAAATTTCTTCCAAGCCCCTCTAGACCTTTTCTCAATATTTTTTTAGTGGTCATATCCAATCACGTTTGTCCATATTAAACAAGTTCTTCTTAATTTTAAATATTATAGAGAGATAAATTATTTATTTTATTACTTATAATGGAGTTGTATTATTTTTAGGATAATAATAATAATAATAATCTTTAAAAATTACATTCATTTGTGTTCGTTCATTTAAAGAAGATTAATGATTCCACATATTGTGGGATAAAATATATACCGTATTTCTTGTATATTATCTTTAAAATTGATTCAAACAATATATTTAAATTAACAACATCATTATCAAGGTCAATAATGTCATCATATGCATTGAGCCATATGTAGAATATTCACAAATTGCAACCATATTTTACTTCTGCAAACATGATTAAGCCATATGTCTCATTAATCCAATATGCCCTACATTTGCTTTTTTTTTAATGCAAAAAAACATTTCATTAATCAAAAAATTTTCATTAATTAAAAAACCATGAAGCTTACAGAGAACTCGATACAGAAAACTTGATATGGCAAACCAAAATTGGTAGATTTATTGGTGTCCAAGTACATGGATCTAAGGTCTAATAATGGACCCAATTTGGAGCACTTCTCTTGGCTCGTTTAATTCTCCCTCTACGGTTTGCTCTCCTGAAAGGGCTGTAGCAAACTCTCTGCAAAGACCAATCTCTGAAAGCTAGTATTCTTTCAGATCATGCTCGCCGAAGCGGGAGATCTAACTAACGACATATAGAAAATAAAAAACAACACAAAACCCACACAAGGTTATAACTTGGTGGGGGAACACGAACAAAAATAACAAAAACAACCAAAGCCCACATAGATCTAACAATTTGTGAGGGAAAACTGATGACGGTAAAAATTTGTCAATAGATTTTTAGTGGTTTGTGTGCGAATCAAGCGGATTAAAACGTGATTAATGAAAATAAAGAGAAGATCAACATAGGAATTTTATAGTGGTTCGCCCCGAATTCTGGAGCTACATCCACTGAGAGAGAGTTTCACTATGTTCTTGAGAAAGATATTACAACATGAGAGAGAGAATTCAGAACCCTCCTCCTGGGCCATTCTCCCCCTATCTATACATCATATCACAATTGTCATTTTTCA